GATGACTTTGCTCTGCCTGAAGCGCACGGCGGCTAAGCACCGCTCAGGATTATTTTTATTAGCCCTGATCACGCGAACTGCCCGAGACATTGGGAGGCTGAGGTTCTGATTGAGCACTGGCAATGAATTATTAGTGGTATCATGGATTCAAAGCATCAATTCACGGCACGAAAAGCTTATTTATGACTCAACGCAGGGGCATTCTTGACCGCAGGCAGCGAACTCGAACCGGAGTCTAACTCTGCGGCTCCTCCGGGAGGAATGAAAAAGCCAATGATTCATCCGCCCAGGATTAACGTTCAACTGACTTCCAAGCGATTAGAATGGAAATGGAAGGGTTCGGACTCGTTCAGTACCGATAAGGGAGGCGAGCGATGCAGTAAACGTCCCTGACGTTCTCCTTTGCGATGCTCTCGAACGAGTGTGTACAATCTGCGTGGTCTTGCTCGTTTGTAACGGTCGTGAGGTTGAATCGAAAAAGGAATCTAAAACTTTGGAAATGTGTCAGTTTTGCTAAAATAAAAACTTTTTTTAAAATTCACCTTCATGATAGAGGAATAACAGTGAAACAAAGAGAATACTCTCCAAATGTAGTTCCGACGAAAAGAGAATCAAGTTCATGATCGCGACAGATGAGTCTCTATCTAAGGAAAATGACAGGGACTTCAAACCATCCTCAAGTCATGCTCATGTCATTTGACGAAAGCTCGGTTGTCGCACGTCAACGCTTTCTTTAGGTGCCACATTATGGTTGAGTCCTTCTTCGCAGATCGGAATTTGCAGGTGAAATGGTTGATTAATTATTGATTAATGATACATTCACTATCCTGGCAGCAAATATATATCATAACTCCATGGTTATCACAAGTTCATTTTCAAAATTCATGATGTTTTCCATTCGCTGGTGTTTGGTGTCTCCACTGACTTCTGCTGAATGGTCGATGCCGGAAGACCAGGCGTCATAAATTCATGTAAGTTTATTTAACAGAGCAGCTTTAATGGACGAAGACAGTCCAATTTAGAGAGATTGAAGGTGGTTGAAGGAAGAGGAAAACGGACGAAGAGAAGGAGGAAGCAGGGGACGACAGGGTGAGGGCTGCCTTGTTCTCCAGGTCGTTGCACAGTTCCTCTGAACAGTGGCATGTCTTTAAGCCAACCAAGTTTTCAACGATATACAGTGTTTTGCAAATGAATTCGTACCACCTTTAACATTGCGCATGGTAACTCAATGGAGCGTCCAATGCGGTGGCGGAGGAGGTCCAACAATTGTTTCCATTCCGGAGGATAGATGTCTCCCTCCCGCTTAATAGCGCCACGTCGCATCAATCGGTCAGTCTCTTGGGAGCTGCCGTACAGCAAAGGTGACGTCGCGCGGCCCCTTATGAAAGGATAGACGAGTCGTTGAGACACAGGATCGTTGCCAAGCACCAGATAGGGCAGTCATGCCCTCTGATTGTTGTCTCCGGTTGTCAAATACTCGACGTGCTTCAAGTGAATGTTGGGCTGTGTGTTTGATAATACACAGATATTAATTTGGCTGTCGACATCATAGATTTGCTTTTCTACTGTATATTTAGTTAAATGCCTAACAATCTGCAGGTACGATGGAATACGTGACCTAAAGTCTGAGACATTATTTCATCGTTATCCTTCCAAGGTATTCGGCTCTGTTTACTTCCTCCCTTAAAGGAATACTTGACTGTGTCTCTTGAAATTTCCCTGATGCGATTTCTCATTCCACGTCTTCCTGGGGCCTCTTGTAAACCCTTTCTTATTCCAACCCATTATTTTCCTCTCAAAAGACAGCAACAATTTCCTTTATGCAGTACTTTATTCTTGGCCTCAACGTTCTCTAACCACTGTGGCTCCCCCCACTTACTTTGGATGTTGCCCAGGCGCCGCGACGAAAGCGCTGCTGTCCAAATTGGGAGGATTCCTCCATAGAAAGGCATGGACCCCATGTTAAAGGTGGTACGAATTCATTTATACAACACTGTATGTGCGCCCTCCGTTATGCCACCAGCCAAAGCTCTCTCAAGTTCGCCTAAGATCAAACGAGTCCAGTGAATAACGAGTTTTTAGGGGATACATAAAGCTCTGCGTACAAGACATGCTTGGAAAGTGCTGGAAAATGTTTTTATTTTCCTGGAAAGAATCGTACAAGGCACAAACAATGCTATAAGTAAACGTTGGATATTGATCATGAATGATGTAACGTTTTTGTTTTAGACTGACAACAGAAGGCAGCTTTCCTGGGATTAGTCACTAGAAAGAAAACCAGGGCCCGCTACCACATTCAAGAGATTCGGCCACAAACCATGGAGTGAAGACCAGGACCTCAAAACCTCATCGGGACTATTAAAAAAAAACTTGAAAGTCTGAAAACCTTGCCATCGGTGGGCAAATTGAAGAGCTGAAATGAGGACCAGTCTATCTGCAAAAATCGTTTATCAAGATTCAGAAAGGAAGGGCGGTTAAGTACGTGGACCACTCGCCTCGTGTGACTGGCCGTTCCGTTTTTAAACGGAAGAGAGAGTGGTCCGTATGGGTAAGTCCTTGTTTCTGCTCAAAACAATACAGGGCGTTCCCAAATTATCTTTCCTATTTTGAACGCAAGTGTAAAAAAAAAACTAATAGGCATACCAAACTGCAGTTTGCACCATCTTGTAGCATGACTCAAAAGAGTTTTTATTGACATGTCAGTAGATTTCCACATCTGCTCCGCAGGTGGCTCTCAGCACGTCAAACCGGTATTTCAATTTCAGTCCACGTTCGCTACAATATGATGTGAGATAGGGCCCAGATAGGGGATCGCGACACTTGTGTAAAGTTTGAAGCGAAATGAGTTCATATACTGATACATATTAATATTAACTTATATGCAAGGAGATTTCGAGGTGTTAAGATTCTCACTATATTTTTTTAAACTTCGATTACAGCATAGGAAAATCGGCCGTTTTCATTACCTCTGGCCATGTTTATAACCATGTAGGGAAACATGATAGCGATGATATTTAAACTGTCTGAAAGTAATTTTTAAAGGCTTTCAAATACTAAAAGACTGAATATTTTTTTTGTCCTTTGATCATTTCCTGAATGATGATGAATCGGTGTGGGTTTTGCATTATGCTTGCAGTAGAAGCTGAAATCGGTCTATGAATTTGCTAATGTAACATAAATGTCATGAAGTGGGATGGAATGGGAAGTGGGATAGAAAACATTATACCATACTAAGGAGCGCTGCAGCAACGAGACTGAAGACTAGGAGAGGCGGAGGAAAATCTAAGTTCCAACTCGTTTCTGCAGGTGGCACTGAGCGTCCGTCTCCTATCATAGTCACTGGCCAATGATTAGCCAGCATTCGCTAACGGACGAGATTTCGGATGTTATGTGAAGAATTATCTCGGCACAGATTGACATGCTGAGTCTTATCTCTGTTATTGTCATCTTACTCATTCCCGACCAAGACAGGCAATTCATCTAATGCTTTTGGCTAATCTACCGCCTTGCCATTTCACGCCATATTGCTCCTGGTTTGGATTCCTCCAAGAAGGCATGTAACTACTTGAGCGACATGCAGAAGGAGCAGTCGTGAGTCGGGGAACAGTGGTACCGTTTGGTGCAAGCAAAAACGGTATTTTTTCCCCTTTATGTTTTTCTTTGCTGTCAGCACTTCTGTTCGGGTCTACACCGGTATATTTCGAATTTAGTTACTGAGATAATGAACTGATTATTTTGGAAATGGAAGACTGAAGGCATGAGAGCAAGAAAAAGTGTTCCTCTCCCATCCCCATCAGGTAAACCAGGATAAAGTGGAATGCTTTCTTATCATGTTATGATTGGTTCGCCTAATCCTTTGGGGAGAAGTCCTAACGTCAGAAAAAAAAATGTATTTCACTGTTTTACATTTCATGTCTGTTTTCGCAATTCGATGCTGGTGGGACGAAGTTGCTCTTACCGGGTGTGACAACTGAGATGACCCAACAGTTAGAATCTGATTGTCATTTCGTTGGGAATGAGATCTATTTAAAACGGGGCTTACATCAAAATTTGTTCTTGGAGACGAATCTCCGTGGTAGCTCCTGATGAAGGTAACTAAAAGTTTCGGATGCGGAGAGCAAAAAAGTTTGGTTTCATTCGATCATTGCACCTTTTCGAAGTAGTCTCTCTGAGCATCGCTGCAAACCCTTTCTCAAAGCAGTGTTTCCACTCAGATGTTGGGACACCCGGGATCCCTGAAATCAATTAAGGAATCGCCTCTTCTAGAGACTGATATCGTCGGCGGAGCCGGTGACTCCTTGGACCGAGAAGTCTGTGCAGGATCTCGTGTTGACCTAGAGTCATTTGTGATTCGATTGTCCTCTTCGAGCATTTTCCGTGCAATGACCTCATTTTCAGCCACTCTCACGCTGTATTACGAGGAAGTGCTTCCTCTCCGAAGGCCTGTCGTAGGAGTTGAAGACCCACCTTTCGGCCGAGTCCACTTTTGAGGTAATAGAAATTGACCGCTCGAAAGCGTTCACGTGACAAATTCATTCTGAATCCCTGAACATGAAAAGTATGAAATATTATAAAAACCCTTTCGAGGCAACGATGAGCTCTGAAAGTTTTTGCATAGACTTGTACTGATTGTTTTCTCAACCCGAGAGGAGACATCGGATGGCCACATTCGGAAACGTTTTGGCTGACCATCGTAAAACGTTACCTCAAGAATTCTACTGCCCAGGCAGCATTAGCCATACGACGCATGTCCTCAATATATCCTCACATCATTGAGGACTATTGCGGACGTACATCGGATGTCTCATGGCTGGTTTCGTCCGTTTCAGCTGCAAACGGGTCCAAGGAATTATATCCGTTCTATATATACACTGTCTAGAAAGATAATAAAAAATAAACGCGATTCCGTCTATAAATGAGATGCCGTAAATAACCTGTCACGGATGCGATAAGAAACATAATTTTATGACGGCTATTAATCCACTCTTGCTAAGGTGCAAGCGAAACAGGAATGCTCACGTACGACCGCAGTTGGATTTTCCGTCCCTCATCTGCAGCAGCGGCAGCTTCCACGAGCAGGTCGAGTAACTATTTCAGTCTAGTAATTAGGTTCCTTTGGATTTCATTTATTATTTTCTGCTATTCTTATTTAGCGATGATAATAGGATTACCTTACGATGTTACCTTACGGTCTTACGATCGTATTTTTGCATCGATAAATCGCTAAAATTAGTCGAAAGTATTTTTCAAGGAACTTTCCATCCTCACAATTCTTGTTGATGGAAACTCTCCGGAAACTCCAAAAGTGACACATTTCCTTATATTTTGTAAGTCTGTGAATGATCCAAATTTAATCCGTAACAGTGCATTACTTTCAGAGATGCGAAAATGCATTTGGGGGATTTTCATCTTCATTTTTTACTCTGGCAATCTGACGTACTGGTCGTTATGGAGCTAAAACTGCTGATTTGATTTGATCAAACGAGGAATCGACGAGCACGATTAGCTTTCAATATATGCCTTTTCTTTATTTTTAGTGGTTCCAAGGGTTTAGGCAAAACTTTTGGACTGCAATTTTGCCGTCCGGTAATATTGGGAGACAGGAAATAAAGGCAGACTGTAGTTTCTGTCCTTCAGTCTGTGTGCTTTCACTGCAGAAGTTTTCTTCGTAATTTCGGATGTAATTCAGTATTTGAAACCCCCGAAGAGCAGAGCGGAGCGAGACGAGACTTCATAGAGGTACTTCATGTCCAGCAAACTTTGTTCTGGGTTCTTCTGTGTTTCCTATTTTGTACTTACTGTACTAAATCAGTATTAGAGACTTCGTGTACTCCCTCAGAGCAAGACGACCGAACTGAGCCTAATTGATCTCTAGTTTTATCTTCGCGTTAAGTAGTGTTCTTGAAAGATTTTCAGGAAGATATCAGTAAGTAAGTTCTCGCATCGTGACCGAAATCCATTGGTACCGCATTTTTTTTAAATCGATGAAGTTGCTGTTTTCTCGTTCGGTTCATAATTTCGGTCCCTCGAACAACAGGAGAAAAAAGAATATCGCCAACTACGTTCTTCTGAGTCTCTAGAGGTACCGAATCTAAAAGGACGAAACTTGATGGAGCTAGAGAAATTTGAGAGAATTGAATTGAAGACCTGGAGAAAGAGAATTGGCAAATGGATTTTGGAGCTCATGCTTAAACATCACTTGAAGTATGACAAATTCTGACCCTGCCATGAAGTGCGCTCCCTGCGTCGCAAAATTGAGCACATAGTAAGAAGAAATCCAATCTCCCTCTTTCGGCCGAACGCCACCGATGTCCGGTCTCAAAACGCGATTAGACAGTGTCTGCATTATCTTCTCGAATGGCACAGATACGAAAACCATCGATTCGAAAACGTAGGCGAGGGGACGGATGATGCGATTAAGGAGGTCGGAACTTGTCTCACCCGACGCGGAAGGAAGTTCTCGTGAGAAAGCAGTTCATCTTCCCTCTTCCACCTTCCATTTCGTCTATAGGCAAAGTTCAACGGAGTCGAACAGAATGGAAAAATACGTGTTGGACGTTAACATAAATTTGCTAGGGATGCTCGAACTCATTTCACAGTTTTCCAACGGAAAATTCCTTCATTTCTCATCAAAGTCTCGTTTCTTCCTCTGCTAAGAAGAGAACAAGAAATTTTTTTTTTAAACAAGACCAGCATGAAAGTCTTTATTATTCATGAGATGCTGAAAAATTTGGAAATGCGATATTTTCAGATGAAATGCGAAGGTTAAATTAACGTTCCTTGAGCAAGGTAAATTTGTCGTCACGACGTTATGATGTTATGCCACAGACGCCTAACTCTCATTAAAAAGTTTTACTATCGTTTCGAATTTTGTCCGAATAATTTCCAATAGGCAAATGCAAACACGATGAACTTAGAGCCCGAACATAAGCCAAAGAGAAAATCGCTGTCGAGTATTCCTCTAAATTTCAGTCCGTGATGTTTGCATCAATAACCCCGAACTTTCCAATTTGGTAACGATCGATTTCAATACTAGCATGTACAGCAGAAGAAATGGGGACGGTCTACCGTAGACGGGACGGTCTACCGTAGTTCAGAATGAAACCTCTCCGAATCTTCATCACGAAACAAAATTTCTCAAACTATTCTCACTGAGAAAGCCAGCGGGTAAGAAAGAAGGCATTCAACGTACCGAGTCCTTTCTTGCCTCGGCTATTCATCATTTAAATGGAAGTCGATGAGTTCGATTAAATATCATTGTGCTTTTCTTAACCCATGCTGCACGATGTGAGTCTCTCACAGACTTCTGCACGTGCTTCTTCGCATGAAAGCAAAAGGTAGGACTGATCCTTGCGACATTTTCGCCGAGGGAGAATAGATCGATAGGTGCCGACATCATCTTAGAAGAGAGCAAAAAAAAAATTAATCAAAACATCAAGAACTCTTGAAGTATCAAGTAGCATACATTTCTTCTAAATAAAGGAGTCGTATCTGGTACTGCTGTGAAGGTACGAGGCTTCCTGGGAATTCCCTCAGAAAGTAAAATCCTCTGCGAGTAAAATCACAAATTGTCCATAATGGAAAAGGTACGATCGTACGAGGCAGTCATGAGCAATCTGGCATTCACAAGAAGAGATCCTTATTGGGATCTCGTTTTCATCTAAGTGATGATCATCTCATTTTACTGTGAGACTGGGTCATCAATGAACAACAAACCCTCAAATCAAATAGGAAAAGAATCTTGATTTTTCATGTTTTATTCTCATGTCATGTCCTTCCACCCCTTTCATCTTTCTCCTTCACCTTGACTGGGGTAGAGCCACTTTTACCGCCATGGGCACTGTCTGGCCCTGGCTCATCTTTTCCTTCATAAAGGGAAGAACTCCACAGGAAAAGGAGGCACTCAGCTGGGTAGCACCCAATACTCATGGTGGTCCTTGCCGGCCTCTTCTGCAGGGGCGTGATTCCCGTTCTACTGGTGACTTTTTGTGTTGTGGTGGAGTACCGTGATCTTCCAACACCCCTTTTTGGACCTTCGGACCTAACAGTCACTTTTCTCGGCTGATCCGCCCGCCTCGTCCCCTTCAGCTTCTGGAAGCGTGCGATGGCTGCCTTCAGTTTGACTTTTGGTCGTTGATTTTGCGATTAAAGTGTTTTCACAAACCCTGTCCGTGTGGATGGTGGGTTTCTCCCCGACCTCTTCAGACGCTACCAACTTTGCCCGGTCGTCACTAGAGGCAGCGTCCTCATCACTTTTCCCCGAAGCCGGACACGTGACATTCACATAGTAATTATTCATTTTTTATTTCTCCTCTCTCGGAAATCAACTGTAACGACCCCAAAGCTGATGAAATCTGCAAGGTGTTCCAAAATATTGACACCAACAGCGTAATGAATTTCAAGATTTCACTCCTGTTCTTAAACGTCATCATTGTAATTATATCGAGGAACGATGATTGTCAGGGCCTAGCAATGCAAAATCTACCTGACCTGGAATTTCTGAAATTGAATTAGTTTTATGGTGGAGACGAAGTCATGAGTCCATATATTACGATGCTTCTAGGGGCAACGTTTATGGAAGTCCTCACTATTAGAAGCGCGAATATTGTCATGGACACTTTTTTTTCCAGGGGGAAGGTATCTGCTCTTTGAAGGAATTGCTAATAGTCCGAGGATTCTTTTTAAAGAAATATAGTGCATTTCATAGTTATAGAGTGAAAGGGCAGGGGAGAATATCCGAGGGAGAATTCCATAATGATCTACGAAAAAAAACTCACACTTACGTTTCGGATCGTCCGAATCTAAGAACGGGTACTTAAATGTCGTCACGCGCCGGAATGACTCGAGAGATGGAAGCCAAGAATCCTCGTTGCAGGGATATGAATATATGACAGTGGCACGGTCGCGACAGAGATAGGGAAGACGGATGTGGAATTTTTTCCAGGCAATCTACTCCAAACATTCTAAGTTAGAAGCTCTCGATGGACGGATGGACTCCTCCCCCCGAGGGAAGACGCGCGTGACGGGACTGACAGACATGAAGCCGAGTCGCTACGGTGGAATGCGAAAAACCTTATCGTGGAGTGATGTGCGCCCTCGGGCAGCCGACTTGGCGATGCCATGAACACGAGCTTCCAAGTGAAATGACCGCCGAAACGACTCCAAGAAGCTTCAAGGAATTACGCGACTGAACGAACCGTGCATAAAAAAAAAAAAACAAAAAAAAAACAAAACAAAACAAAACAAAAAACAGATACGTAAGAGGTTCTTTCCTGCAGAAAAGTACAGTACAGTTGGCCCTATGGGAAATTGATTTTCTGATTGGAAAAGGCGTTCCACTGTATATGTGGATTCCAAATCCCGTTGCAGAGGCAATCGGCTGCTCCTTAACAGGTTGACCGCCATGAGGCACACCGGCGCGCCTCACTGAGTCCCTTTTCCTACGCCACAGGACGCACTGGTGCGCCCCACCTCTTTTCCTTTGTTGCGCCTCGGGCTTCACCAGTGCGCCTCAGTGCTGCAGAGGTTTTGTGAGGCCGTGGCACAGGAAAGTGAACTATGTTCGTGAAATGATCTTTCCTCAATTACATTTACCATTACAGGGGGTTACGAAAATAAACGTAGCGAGGTCTACCGGTGCACCTCATGGCGCAGGGAAGTCAGCTTCTTGGTCGTGGTGAAGGGTTCTTTACGCATAGGCTTACAAAGAGATCAATCAATGTAGTATTTTCTTCATTCTTTCTCTCTCTTTTCTCTCCTGATCCATTCTTACCACCCCACACTTCACTAATTGCAGGATAAACAATAAACTGTGTCTAAAAACTATTAAGCCAGCAAAAATCCTGCAGAAATGCTTCCTACCGTCGGTCGGTGGTTCCACACACTGCCCCAAACAATTTTGGAACCTTTTTCAACTTGTAGCTTGTCGTAATTGGTTCAACTATCGCCGTGCGCTTTCGAGGGCTGACGAAGACATCAAATGAGCACATGCGCGCAAAGTTGTATCAAAATCCATCTATTCATTTCGGAGATGCATCAGCTTATTCTAAGTAAGGTTGCGGCGGACCATCGCTGTCGGGCCGCACTCGGCGCGAGCACAGCCAGCCAGAGAGGGAATTCACCGTTCCCCGGTCGCAAGAGAATGCGAACCGTGCAGCGTTTGGGTTTCGATCGATGTCACGTGCCTGAAATTCCACAAAGGCGCACAGCGATAGCCTGAACCAATCACTAGTGGCTAAAAATTGAAAAAGGTTCCAAAGTTTTTTGGGACAACGTACAATCCGAGGAAGTACTCAAACGCGTGACGTCACAGACAACTGCGAAGCGGGCAGCGTCAGAGGCGAAATTCAATTCAAACGAGACGCTACCTTGGGAATGGAGGAACTCGCGACAGCCCAGACCCCACAACTCCTTCGATCGGTCGGGAAATGGTCCTAGATTTGTAGCGCGAGATCGAGCCCAGTCAGCACAGTCACGTTGTGTCAACGTTGCGAAAAGGTTGAAATGTTGAGATTTGGTTAAAGTTGAAAATCCGATGAAGAATTGACATCAATGAAATGCATGGTTATTCATAATTAACAGTATTTGCAGAATATTGTGACTACTTGTTGATTAGCGAAGTCATTTAGTGGCTATTGAGCGCCAATTCTTTTCTCATTATATTTGATTTGCGCTTGATAGCCAATAAACGACTTTGCTAATCTACGAGTAGTCAGCGTGCTGCAAATACTTTAAATTACAAATAGCCAGAATTTCATTGATGTCGATTCCTCATTGGATTTTCAACTTTAACCAAATCTCAACATTTCAACCTTTTCTCAACATTGACACAACGTGACTGTGCCGACTGGGAGGGGACGGGAACCTCTGTCTCGGCTAGTTTCACTTTTACTTTTTTTAAATATGCATGATGTAAATTTGTCAGGGTCGTTTAGGGGAAACGAGAGGGAAGGGGTGTCTATGTATACGGTCAAGGTCCTTTTTTTACTGTACAGAAGTAGAGCGCATCCGGAGACGGATCAGAAATATCGCGTTATATCTCGCAACCGTATTCGTCTGGTATTTAATCTTACGGTTCGAGATAAACTGGGGGACCCGGATCTTTGAACGATTGCGGGGAATCCCAAACGAACGATATGCAGATGGAAGGTTCGCATGACGATACGAGAAAGAAGATTTGACGAGGACCAGGATGACGAGATTCTTCGTTCTAACGATAGAGGAAGAGTGAGAGATATTTCACTCCATTCTCCGGGGTTTTACGAGTGTTTGTATCCCTAAGAAATCAAAGATAATGTTCAGATAGCCAGGTTGGTCCAGATCAGATTGGTTAACAGATAAAATGAAGTCCCTTCCCTTATAAAAATTTTTTTACTGAGGTAAAATTGGGACGGGGAAACCAAGGTAAAAAAACCGGTTTTCTCCCTTCTTTCAACCTGTTAGAAGACCCTTCAGGTAAAGATTAGGGGGGAAAACGGTTAAGTTCGGACGAACGAGGGGGTAACGTTTCGTATGGGTTATCGGACATAGAAGGAAATGGAATTTGTTTAAGTGCTAATTCGGGTCATCTTGCATATACGAGGAATGTCGAGATGATATGAAGTGATCTAAACGGGAGCAATAAGAGCGGCTGGCGAACGATACGAACAATTATATCGTTGTTGCTCATCGATATCTTCATCGAAATTCCATTCTTAGAGAACGATAAGAGGGAGTCCGTTGCGAAAGATGCGATTCAATTTCCTTCTTCCGTTTTAACGAGCGAATACTATGCTGTACCGACGATGGCTCGGGCTTCCCAGCGTATCTCAGGGATTTCGTCATCCACGACGAGGATGTCGGGTGGGATAGGGAAGCTGGCTGCTGTCGCAACCAGACGGGATTCCAGCGAGTGCCGTCGAGGGAAGAATCCACACCATCACGAATCATTTTCGAGGAGAGCGTTTTACGGAAACATGTCTCATGAGTTCTTCATGAATCCATGAGCTTGAAGAGATTATTTTCGGGCTTTTCGACGAGTCCAATGAAAACTGGTTCGTAAAGCTCAGCGAGAGCAGATGTAAAGTTCTTAATGTGGGCCGAAATAACGATGAGTCCTTGAATACTTTTAGTTAGGATAGGCAAAGAGGGAGAGAGATTTAGGACTTTTCAACAATAAGGTATGAGGATTAAGGGATTAAGGGATTAAGGGATAAGGGACGCGAAGCAACGCTTCTTCTCGTCCCAAATGAAACCCTGGACACCGAGAGCAGGCTTTCCCTGCAATCAAGCACCAGACTGGCATCTGTTCATGAGTCTGGGCGTAGATTAACTTACCGCCTGGAAAGATTATTCTCTCAAGGTTGTGAATGATATCGAGTGACGTTCCTCCGCTTATAGTCGAGTCACTGGGAATGTGGGCAGTGGAAGGAAAAGAAAAGAAATGAGAAATTTGTCATTTAGGGCCTCCCTTGCCTTAGTCGGCGGATTAACTCCTACCGTGAAAGTGGTCTTTCTATCTAATGACATTCTGACTCGGATGAGTCTTCTCTTCAGCAGTACATGGAGCTCGACAGTTATGCCGAAAAGGAAGACAGACAGGCTCGTTATTCCACCTGGTGAATCCTCTCGAGAGTCATCATCAGAGGATGCGTGAAACGGCATTACATCTTATGTTAACCTGCTGTCCTTGCGAAAAAAAACTGCCTGTGTTAACCCTGTTTTTCTAAGCTGTCGATTAGGGAAGGGGACTATCGGCTAGCTGACATTTCATGACCTCTAATGGAGTGATCTGTCAAACTCCGACCAACTCGTCAAAATCCCAGCGACTCGACTATACTCGCGTTGCATTTCCAGCTTCTGAAGCGGTGTGTGAGTAGAAGCACGGTCAGGGTAATAATAATTTTTCAGGGTTGCCAGAGTCTGCTTTCCATTGCGTCAGTCTGTACACCCTCAAAAGGGTCATTCTTCTGATTCGCTTTAAATTTGGTGCGTGGGAAAATGAAAGCCTCCCGACTTTTTTGGTTCCTGGGGTGAGGGGAGACTTGAGATTTAGGGATCCCAGCTTTCAGGCGATTTAGCATGACAGCGGCGACCTTGAACTTCTTGTCTGATAACTTCTGCCCTATCTGGGTAAACAGAGCTCATTCATGGCTTGTTCTTTATCGAATCTCAAGGTCTTTCCGATGATGCAATGACCTTTTGCCTCATCCCGCATTCCAATGTCACGACCGATACGTAACGACAAAGGTCTCAAGCTCGAATTCGATGGTCATCATGTGATTCCACATTCCTCAAGGTCTAATTTAAATAGCAAAAAAAAAATAAATAAAATATAATAAATCTAGAACAAAACTTACGTAGTTCGATAAAAAAAAATATTACCAAACAGGCCTTATTCTATGCATTAAATGCCACATCATTGAGTAACTCAGCGTGATTATTTTCCAGCGAAATTCGAGCCATCCGTTGCCCAGCAATTGTTCCGTAACGTTTCCATCGAGGTTGCGAGTAATGCGTAAGATGTTAGACTTTTCACCTGCGGAGGATTTAGATTAGATAGATTATCAGATAGATTAGAGGACTAGTGATAGATTAGCACCAAGCACCGAGGAAACTCATGGCTTCAAGGACGACATTTTGGACCGACGATACGAAGACTGACATTCTGCTCTTTCGACAGAGTAATGGCCTTATCTTCATTGAATTGAATCGATCCATATATCTTTCTGAAGACTAAGGACACCATTTGGCAGTCGTATTCCAGTCCGTTCATCAACATTGCTCCGTCTTCATATTCGGTCGACGATGTTGACGGTATGCAATTTTCAAGGTTCTCATGCAAGCCTAACACCGACTCGACGTTGACGATGAGACAGGCCTCATTATCGCGAAGAAATCAACTTCGTGTTGAGCTCCGATTGAGAAACTCGGTGTCCTGTGAATGTGACACGAACGTGACGTCGAGCAAACCCATCTGGCAGTCAATCGAGTAAACGAGGTTCCGCCGATCGATTCGAGATAGCACTTAAATCGCCTGTGCAATGTGGCACGTCTTAATGCAGCTGAAATATGACTCCAGTAATTTTTATACTGTTCTTGATATTATGACCTGAGACGGCACAGATCCCCGTGTTATCCCCGTACAAGACATTGGGATTCCTCAAAACTTTTCTGCTGATAAAGGCAACCCACTCCGAGATTCTGGGCATATCTGACTCGGTGTATGGAAAAAGGAATATTGAATGGGGGATCCCACGAAACGGGCATGAGTTCATGGCTCCGACATTTCCATCTGTCTCACGTCAACACTGAATTAGTAGCGATTCAGCTTTGCAGGATGTTATTATATTGATATCACCGTTTTCAACATGACATCCCGTACAGGAGTTCCAAATGAAGACTTAATACGTTTTATCAAATATGACTTTGTATGCATTTTTTTGTTTACTTAAAGCATATATGCAATACGAGGGTATTTGAAATCTTATAAGTCCGAATCATGTTTTGGCCATACTACCAATACATAGTCCCTTAACTCCTTCCTGTCTAGTTTGGCACATATACAGTCTGGCCAAACATGTCCAAATACATCCTATACATACGACTGTATTTTGTAGTTCTGTAAGGAATAGATATAATTTTCAAAGCTTTTGCAAATTTGAGACGACATCGTTGCGGAGGCTGAAATATTTAGCTCCCCCCCCCCCTTGTGGATCCCATTGGTCTAATATCTGCAAAGAAACCATTTTTAACATTTTGATAGAGTTCGTAAGGAGGCTGTTATAACGCTTCATACCAACCACCAGCACTTCTATACAATCTTGTAGCTGTGAGGGATACGATTTGAGAAGTTGCTGTTCGAGCAAGGCCTCGAGCCTGGTCGAGCCTGGTCCTTCATGTCCTCCACCACCGCAATGAAATAGCTCGGCTGGGAAACCTCCGACCTCCATACTCCTGGACCATGCTGGGGAATGGAGACCAGAGGTTCCGAGTCTGCACAAATCCAGCTGGTGGACGTACAAAAGTTTCAAAGGAATCTCCTAGAACTCACGCTTAAATTTGCTTTTCTGAAGTATGACGCCTTTTGTCTTAAAGATACACCAGTTATATACCAATATATATAAAGCGACAGGAAATTAAATTTGTCTGAATGATGGCGATTCTATGTACTATGTGTCATGAACAATTAGCATATATAGCATAAAATGCGCGAAATTAACTTTTGAATTTCGTACTATCCTTACAGATTTGACACGATGAAATTCTTCGCATTTTTCAATCTTCTTATACTTTTCGGTGAGTCGACAACGATAAGTTCATATCGATAATTTTGATAGACCCGTTTAGTCGTCATTCAAGATTCAGAAATTTCTTCTACGCTTCCATTGCAGGCGTTGGGAGGGCCCTGCGCTGCTTCGACTGTTCAGATGAGTACCACTGCCAATGGACTTCCACCCAAACGGAATGTAAACTTCCACCGGATACGGTCTTCAAGCCCAGTTTTGAATGGTACTGCGGCACCGTCCGCGACGAAAAGGGAAAAGGTGTGTTTGTCCCTCAATGAGTTGATCGCTTTAGGAGTTTTTTTTTGTGATTTTTTCGATTCCTAAATTAGCATTTAAGGAGATACTTTTAGACTGGTGACCCTCTGCCTTATGAAACAGGTATGACGTCATCTTGAGCCGAAATCAGGTCTTATGAGGTGAAGCTATGAAATGATTATGCAATACTTCAGTCGCGTTTTCGAGGATCTCACTTCTGTCACGTATTGGATAGGGAACGATCCCTTGTCAACACACGACTGTGGGATTATTAGGTAATCTCGGGTTCGGTACAGCAAATTCAGGAAAGAAAATCCACCATCAGAATTTCAAAATAATTATAAAGTTATGTTAATATTCAAAAGTTCAAAAAGAAAAAGGATGACGAAATAAAATAATGGAGGGACAAAGACACAACACCAGGGACACAGGAAAACAGTCTCGCAGGCAAATCTCTATTTAATTCCCGCCCCACTCCACAAGCTGCCCCTCGCTCTTGCTCTCGCTCTCCCTCTCTCTCTCTCTTCTTTTTCACGACCTCCTATGACTCCCCCTTTTTCCCCCGGGTCTTCCCGGATAGAGCCGATAAGGTTTTCCGTTCCAGATTATTAATCAGGATGTCTCGCCCTTGGACATTATCGGTCAACAAGGTCAGGATATCCGTTCCCTGAAAAGGGCTGTTTTTATCTTTCTGTTACATATTGCGTCTTGTATCAGGTCCATAGGTACGACCTTCTTAATGAGCTTTAATATGCTTCACTTCAAGCTCTGACTAGTACCTCTGACTAGTACCTAGTATTAGTTTTCGGTGGCACTTCATTAGAAGCTGCTCATAGAGTGCATGCCATCGATAACGAGTTCGTGTGCGTGACAGCAAGTGCTTCGAAATTAGAGAGGACCAGCAGGCCAAATTCCAAGAGTGGGGCGTCCCCTCAAACTTTCCACGCTGTTTCCGTCAGTTGCCAACAGCAGAGGGTGATCCATAAGTTTGTTATCGTTATTCACGTTTGCAAAGAGAGAAGGGCCAGTCCCAAAAGGAAACCGATTTCCCTATTGAAGAGGGAGTTTTTCCCCCCTGCATGTCATGTGATTTTTTACTCCTGAGCTGTGTACGACCGGCATCTTTAAGAACGACACACCTTCTCAAACGACTTCGTGGGACTCTTGCTCATTCAGCATCGATCGCTTACTTCATAGACCCTACGTTTTTCGGTTTCGTCTTCTGCTGTGTTCGTAAGCATTCTGCAAAGGAAGATGTTCAGGGGAGTCAGGTCATCGGGGCAATAAAAAGTCGTACTTTTCAACGGTGTAGTTTCTTTATGGCTGAACGATTCTCTCCCTGTAAACGTAAGCGTAGTGGTAGCAAACTTATGACTCACACTGTACCTGTCGAATTTCGTACGATCTCTGTACATAATTGGAACGAAAATAGGCAGTTTTGAATTCGAAGAAAATGGCTTTATTTTGTCGGAATTCTCAGGTAAACTCTTGGAGGCAGGATGCTTTCCGTGGCACACGAAGGAATGCCTGGATTCGGAAGACGAAGTCGAAATGGGAGTCACTGATCCCATGGCTAACGACTTGGAACTCTGCCTCTGCGATACGGACCTGTGCAACGACGGATGGGAGCTCTCCCCTTCTCAACTCCTCGTTCTCTTCCTCCTTTTAGTTTCTTTTAAACACCTTCATTTCTCCTGAGGCACGTTTCAGAATATATCCACTATGGCAGAAGATTTTTCCGCCGTGCGCATCGACTATTCGATTGGAATAAAACGAATATATCGAAAATTCCTGCACTGTCTCGTCAAAAATGTAAAAAAGAAAAAAAAATTCTGAGAGAGAAGACATCTCCCGTAAACTTTTCCAAAAGGTGTATGGAATCGTATCCTTGCAGAGACGAAAAGGAGAGACATTCGCGTAGCATGCGACCATTTAACCGGTCACGTAAGTCACTTCTGCTCCACTGCATGCCCAGCCTTTTATTCCAGCGGCTAGACGTTAAAGGGACACACATATTGTCCATATATGGCACCATCTCCGCCAAATTTTCGTCTCACTCCCACGCAGTGTGAGAGCTGAAGAGTATTTTAGAGATGGCAAACCATTTGAAGGAATCGACCTTTGGTCCGATGTTGACTAAAATATCAACGAATGCTTTAATCGACTCTATTATTTTCCCCAGTTACAATATCGTATCTACCGTCAATTTAATCGAATTTAGTTATCTAATTCATAGTTTCCAAGATTTTTGACAAATTTGGATTTGGTCGCACATCCATCCCTACAAGAGATCCTTCTTCCTGATTTTGCTTGGAAGCACCGTGAAAAGAAAAACTTGAGTACAGGCACAGTACCATTCCACGAACCACCACTTCTATATACTTTAGACCTCAGCTATTCAAATCTTTGTGACAAGAATGACTTTGGGGTTCTGAATAGGTCACCGACAAAACTCCAGGTCATCGATAGAATACAATGAAAACTCCGCACCATCCATCTTGCCCAAGTGATGTCTCTCGTCGAACATTACCCATTCGGCACAACAACGTTGTGTCAACGTTGAAATAGGTTGATGGCAATGTTGCCTCAATGTTGAGAAAAGGTTGACTTTTCAACGTAACATGTTGTCATGATGTTGCCACAATGTTGAAATGAAACACAGCTCAACGTAGAAAAGTTGATGCTGTGCGACGTTGTGTCAACGTTGAATTTTCAACATAAGGGCATTATAGTACCTCCTCCCTATTCTAGGGTCTGAATGAGCTTTGATTGTCGGATGAAATTGAATATGGACTCGATAACTCCATAGATGGTTCCCAAGAGGCATGATACTAGCAGTACTCTACCGAGTACAATTATCCCACATAAAGGCCCCTCAGAGTTTTATTTCCTCTACTGAATGAGAATTCACATTGAGTACCTTCATGACTCAAGTGGTTTTTATACTCTATCCATCATGGATGAGTCTGAGTAAGGGCGCGTGCCATGTGGAGATTTAGGAAAATTGAGCGTGTCTTCTCGGACCCATTAGCCAGAAGTACCTTGGGTCTCCTGCCTGAGTACCTCCTTAAACATGTCTATCTAGGAATTCCTATACCTTCCCCTATGCTGTAAACGGGAAAAGATTGGGTACTGTTTGAAAAACGCAGGGTACTGGTTATTTAAAGGCATCAGGATAAGAATCGCGGAATTGGCGGTTATGTGCCATCTCGCGTCGATTCGTAGAACCTATTTTCTGTTGATATGATGTGGATAACTCCACGTAAAAACAACATTGAGAATACGATTTTTTTTTATTTGCTCCTAACAGCCTCTGAACGACTTCCCTAATTCACGAGTAGTCACCAAATGCTGAAAATACGGTTAATTATGAATAGCTAGCATTTCATTGATGTTGATTTTTCGTCGAATTCTCAACTTCAACCAAGTCTCAACGTTTCAACCTATTCTCAATGTTGATACAACGTTGTTGTGCCGAATGGGATGTCATCTGAATTGATCTTGACATGATGTCATCTGAAGCAGAAGTCTGTTCTTCTAATAGACTTCTGTTTCAGACATCACGAATCGTCTGCAACGAAGGGAAAAATAAGAAGCCATCCCATTCGGCACAACAACGTTGTGTCAACATTGATAACAGATTGAAATGTTGAGACATCCTCATTTAAATAGGTTCTACCAATCGGTACGAGATGGCGCCTAAGCGCTGATTTAGTGATTCTCACCCTGTTGCCATTGGAATGAGTCCCCTGTATTTTTCACACAGTACCCGATCTTTTCCTACGTACAACTCAAGGTAAGGCTTTGGAATTCCTAGATAGAATCGTTTCAGGAGGTAACTCGACAAAAAGAAACTCCAAGTACTATTTGCCAGGGCATCCGAGGTAATTTACTAACTCTCTACACAGTAGTTCAATGAACTCTAACCTTGTGTCTCTTTCGAAAGCGGTGCGAAAGATAGAGTGCGGTTCCTCTCCGTGATCGGGAGGTTTGGTTATAGGCATGTACTTCCTCTGCTGGACAGAAAGAGTTGCCTCACTCGGATAATCTACTCGATATCTGATCTAGTAAAGGAAATACAACCAATGGGGACTTCTCGTGGGTGTTAGTATTCATTTGAGTACTGTCATCCCACACAGAGTTCCTCACTATGGTCCTCCGGAAGGATCCCTCTGTGGGATGACAGTACTTAATCGAGTTCTAACATCACTCTAATATACCTAAAGTCTTGTCAACTAATCGATAATAGCAGTCGCTTGTTCTAACTCAAGAAATGAAGGAGGTATTGCAATCCCCGAACGTTGACAATTTATCGTTGACACAGCGTTACACCACTGCAACTCTTCAACGTTGAACTGTGTTTCATTTCAACCATGTTTAAACATTGAAGCAACATTGTCACGTTGGAAAATCAACCTTTGTTCGATTTTGACACGATGTTGCTGTGCCGAATGGGATTGCATTCCCGGCCACTAATACCAAGAAGAGAACCTTCAAGGTAGCAAAGGGAATGGATTTCTATTGCGTTTCAAGTATCCATTTGCAGAGATTAATATTTGTTCGAATCACTTGGCTTTTTCTTGCGGTACACAGATACACAGACTGGAAGTGATCTCAAATACAATCCACTTCACAATTCGACAAATTGACAGAAAAGTGGCGAGTTCACATGAAAAAACTTAAATTTATTCTTGATCGTGTCGCATGCCGGAACGAGAGAATGAACGTAAATTGTTGATCAGAACTCAGGGCTTGCGTGCCTTGAGTGCAGAGATGAAGTTTTCCTTACTTCCCAGAGCATCTGGAACAACATCAAAGTGGACAAGATTGAGTGCCTCAGCAACATTCGCGAAAGTATAATCTGATGGAAGATATGTGAAGAATGCGAAGCAAAATTGCATCGGTAGCGATGGACGTGTGAACACAAACAGCAGTAGCTCTTGCTTTCTTAATTATGTATGAACATGAATGCGAATGGAATAGATCGCATGAAATACATATAAAACTGGAATGAGACAATTCATTGGTTGTTCATGGCATTTCATCTCGATGATTTCCCGATTCCTTTCAAGCGGTGATTCCATTCCGCCATTTTGCCAATCTGGGACGAATTTCGTTCGATCGATGCCAACAAATGCCATCTTTGCATATCGTCTTCACCCGACTAGAAATACACAAGAATGAAATTTCAGAAACTGTACGATCGAAGGGAGATGATGTCGTCTTGGACCTCCAACAACGAAACGAAATCTCCAATATCGTCGTAAAATCTCCACTTCAACGAGAAGTAAATGTCTGATGAAAGCTTATATATTTGTTGACTGAGGATCGATATGGAAAGGATTTGCAAGTGAATAAAACAACCGAGATGACAGGCATTGAATTTCTGGGAGAGACATCCCTTGTGAATAGCCTCAATCGAAACGAGTGGATCGGAACTCACTATCGCAGCCGTCGCGGTAGCAGAAACAGGTGAAGGGGAATTGCCAGCACACACCGACCGTGAGGATGTCGATGGCAAGGCAATAAGGCCAACAAGACCATTCCGCCGGTTGCAATTGTCCGTCCAGATGTCGCAGCAACAAGGTTTATCGGGTCGTCTGGCTGGATCTCCCTCCTGCATCTTCATCTCTTTGTTGGGCATGCCTAGAGAACGGTGCATCTAACACAACGGATGTGATCGTCGAGAAATCTCTTTCCTTCCCGACTCGAATACGAGCGAATGAAAAGAGGCTACTCACAGGCGGCGATGCCGAGGACGACGAGGAACGCAAAGAGAACCTTCATGTTTTTCCATTTTCCTTCTGGATTTTCCTTCTGCTTCCACGTGAATCATGCGTTCCGAGATCATCGCTCCCTTTTTTATAGGCTAGGACCTCAAACCATTCTTCGATTCCCAAGGGAAACAGTATAATTCTATATCTGGCAACCCAGATTCAGATTTATAGATAATGTTAAGGAAAGGTGAGGTGACCTGATTTTTCCTGCACCCATCCCTACATTCCCATAAGAAATAGAACAGCAGTAGGCTCGTACAGCTTACATTTCGATTATGCATGTCGAATCAACATATTAGTAGGGTACTGGTTTTGGCCATTTTGGATACAAAAGTTTATATTTACTGGAACTTCAGTATGAAAAATGAAACGGAAGAGGTACTCAAACTGGATCCACCATACTTGAATGAAGGTGGCAGATAGAAAAGTTCGACCGAGTCAGTTCTGCCAAAGTTTCTCAACTTTTGCTAGTCAAAACTTTCAACAGTTCGGACACGAACGAATGAAAAGCCATTTTCTGCATGGAAAGAGAATGGTGTGCATTTACTAGCATATTACGAGAGAAACTCGTCAAAGGGTGATTAATAAGACTGATTCCTTTCTATGACAGCTTTTGTCAGAAGTGAATTTATTTTATTCGGTAGAAGAGGTTCCTTCGTCCGAGTGCGTTTAAAGGGGGGGGGGAGATGGGTTGCTTCTTTACTTTTCATTTGCCAAAATGTGCCATTTGTGAGGGGGAATTTTGAAAGCATGGTCTGTGTGCAACTGGGAGTCACCCAATCACACCATAGATAGGATATATAACGGACAGCTTCAGCCGTAAAATGGTAAAAGCACACACGGAAAGAAACTGAAGAATGTAGAACCTTTTTCCTGTTCTTTCACATGTAATGCTTCCCCATTCCGGCAACTAACGGCACCGGAAAACAAGGATGGGATAAAAGGGTGGAAACTTGGGACGGTAGTCTCTGAATTCCTCAGAAATACAGCTTGCTTCAAAAATCTGGAAA